GTTTAAAAGATTAAAAAAGAAAATGTTTCAAAAAAAAAAAAAAAAAAGGATATTGTTTGTGACCTGGTTAACATCTATACCGACCAGCTACGTCATGAACTATCACTGAACTATGTTTGCAAATCATTTCTCCAGGGCTACATATTAATTGAATGCTCAGTAAAATATTGAATGCAGAGGAATTGACTGATTTTCAGAATGAGAGAAGCAAATTACTCCTGGAAACATACCCTTTTAGCATCAAAGAGGTAATGACGGCCTTCCACTCTCCATTGTTCCATCTTTTCTAACTCAATTGCAGACTGCAGGTCTTTGATTGAAGTGTCTTTTACAACCTGAGCCTTGGAAACTTTCTCCTGAAAGAGCCAAATTATTGATATAAATAATAAATAAACTATTCATGCACATTATCTTCCTAAACACCTAATAATGTGACTTTAACAAATAATTTCACTTGTAGATGAACTCCCATAAAGTCAAAGACAGCCCGGCAACTAGCCATTCTAGATTGTGGCATCTATGATAGCTTTCTGTCAGTAAATGTTTTCTCAATGCGTGTAAACATTACCATGTGCTAGTCATAGCAAACATATTACATGCAATTCATTTTGAATGGTATTGTACAATACAGATGCTCAGACGTAAGAAAAATACCAAAAGCAGCTCACTTACTTCATTAATCTTGTCTATAAACTCTGCTACTTTATGCCCATACTTCTTGATGCCATAAACACTGACAAGTCCAAGAGAAAGCATGGAAATAGTTTCATGATTTATGACATATATTTCTTTAGAGAAGAGATAAACAAGAAGCCCAGTTCCAAACATGTAGGGACCTGCAAAAAAAAAAAAGAAGAAGACATGAAAGCCAACTAAGTCTGCAAGTGTTGAAATGTTCAAATACATGTAGAGTTTTGCTACAGGCAAATTTGACCAAGAACCTGTTACTCTTGAGAGGACAGCAAAATGTATGCAGCATTAGGCTACAGGGAAATTCAAGGTTAGGGATCTTGGGGGATATTTAATAAAACTAGGAGGATAATAAAACTCTCCAAGGTCTAGCTTAAAAGGAAACATTAGCATAATTTAAGAATAGAATTTAAAATTTCACATGGGTTTGGCTGTCTGAGTTCACGCGCTTGCAGGGGACCTCACGGCGGCTGTCTTTTACAGCACTGGTCTGACTGCACATTGCCGCCTCCACCTCTACCCACACCCACAAGACCCCGTACAGCCTGGGGAGACACCGCACGCAGCCCTGGAGGGGGGGGAAGCCATGCACCGCCTCCTGAGACCCTGCACCTGGGGAGCAACACAGAGTATGTAGCTTCATATTATTCTGCAGTGCTTTAGAATGGTTTGCAGGGATTTGTACTCCTCTATAGCTGATGGTATCTGTGTGTACTTGTGGAAAAGTATCGGTACCCGGTCTTCAAAAAATGGTATCGGTGCATCCCTCGCAGAAACGCAGCCCCAAAACTGCTTCCTGCTACAGCCAAAATTTTGACTCAGTCAGAGCAACTGCTGCCAATTTTCTGCTCCCTAGTGCCGATGTTTTCGTGCATAGTTGAGTCGCTTAGCCTTATTTCCACGTCAGACGTATGGCTTTTTGGCCGCGATTCTTCCATGAAGACCACTTTTTACCAGACTTCTCCACACAGTAGATGGATGTACCTGGGTCCCACCAGTTTGGTGATGATTGCACTGCTGGACATCTCCCGATGTCGAAGGGAGGGAAGCAAGCATGATGTGTCTTTTAACTGCTGCATTAAAGGAGAACTATGACATGAGTGATTTCCACTCACCTCATAGTTCTAAGCCGACCTGTGACAATGAGACTGTCACAGGTCGGCTCAGTAGATCGGTAGGCGAGGGAACACATACCGGGTTCGCTCACCTCTCGATCCTGTCACGGCTCTCTGCCGTGACAGGGGGAGGGGCTGGATTCCCCTCTCCCCGCTCCGATCTGCCAGCGCTGACTGGCGGAACGGACGGGGGAGGGGGCGGGTACAGCTGGCTCTGCCTCTAGGTAGGCAGAGCCATCTGTCACTCACGCAGCTGGGCGGATCCCGTCATCTAAGTCAGGATCCGCTCCAGGTGCGGCATCTCAGTATACCGCGAGCTGCAGCTCGCGGTATACTGAGCCTAGGTTGACGGGAGGACGCTAGTTTGTGTCCTCCTGTTACCCTGAGGAGAACTATGGGGAAAAACACTGACCCCCATAGTTCTCCTTTAATTTTACTTGGCCGACCACTGTGTCTACGGTCCTCAACGTTGCCCATTTCCTTGTGCTTCTTTCAAAAGAGCTTGAACAGCACAACCCGTTTGCTTTGAAATCTTTGCCTGAGAGAGACCTTGCTGATGCAGTATAACTACCTTGCGTCTTGTTGCTGTACGACCTGTGACATGAAACTGTCTTCCACAACCTCACCTTAGTAGCAGAGTTTGGCTCACAGTTTTAAGCCTCCTCCTTATTGCGTCACACCTGAGCCCAGAAAGTGCATTACATTATAGCACCACAAGCAGAACCCAGTGCCCCAGTCACATTACAGACAGGCCCCGCAATCTTTAGCAGGGTCCAGGGATGGTCTGCAAGGCAGCAATGAGGATGAGCCGATCCAGACAGCTGCAATGAAGAGAGCTCAAGCACAATAATAAAGTCTTGATCTCAGAATAAAAACAAAGTACGGTGAATGTTGAGCATGTCCAACCTCATATGACACTAGCAACTAAGGTATGATCATTGGGGATGAAGTTATATGGGGCCTGGCTTTACTTTTTTTTTTTGTTTGACACTGTCCCAACCCACTGAAGGCAATAATATAACCCAACTGTCTAAAGGTGCCCATACACCTTACAACCATCGCAAGACTTTGAGAGGCGGGCTTGCGATGACTGCAAACAGTCAGTGTGCGCACACCGGCCCGTTCGGCAGTTGTCGAACAAGCACGCCACTAACCCGCTGAGAATCGTACAATTCTCTGCGAGTTTTCAAGCCTGCTTGTTCGACGGAAGACGCGCGACCGTACAGTAGAAACAGTCGCACACCTTCCATAAACGTTGCGATTCTCGTACGATCGCAGGATTTCCCGCGATTCTCGTACGATAATCGTACAGTGTATGGGCACTTTTAGATTATTTTCCTGTGTCTCTCAATGGATGATACAAAAAAAAGTACTTCTCCCTTAATTTGTGGGATAACCATGTAGAATTACCATTATATTTGATGTAGGGTTACTGTGCCTGCATGAAGGGTTATCAATAAAATTGTGCACTGTAAAACAAATAATGAAAAGAAATGCTTTGCGGAAAGAAAACAACCAATCCCTACCTGTGACTCCTGTCTTTGGATACAAGAACTGGAAGAATTCTTCAGGAATAAAGCCATGGCGGACCTTCCCAGGATGCTCTGGAAGAGGAGGTACAGGGGCCAAAGAAGGCTTCCCTGTGTGAAGAGGCCGGCATGTGTTGAAGACCCTAAACCAGAGAAAGAACAAAGAAAGTTATGTCAGGTTTGATATGGAGCACATTAACTTATGCAAACGTAGACCTAAAAGTGCTTCATTGGTATTTCAAGATATTTGTAAGTCAATTTTTTGCATTCTCCAAGAGGAAATAAACCTTCCAAAAACTTTAGCATAGACAGACTAATCAACCTTGCTGCTACTGACTGGATGAGTTTTAACCAAGGTGAGAGGGAGGGAAAAAAAAAAAAAGAAGAGGGTGGTGTAACAGACTAAAGGGTCTGAGCTAGACAGTCTACTTAGAGTCCTTTGTTCTGAGAGCCCCATCTTTTAATCAGCACTGTAGACACTTTCAGATTCAGGATGAATTCAGACTCTTACATGTTGTGAACTTGTCCACTAGTGTCCAGGCTACATTTGAGGTGAACTGCCAAGAGTGAATTAAATTGCATACACCCTATTCAGGATTACTTCCATGAGTGGAAAAAAAAATCAATCAATGGCTTCTTTCCTTTAAATAAAGCGTACTTCTGTGGCATTGTTTGAGACCACTGACCTTCAACATACCGTAGCTAGTGATTCGCCCCAATTTGAGGATCTTCACACTTGGACCAAGAGCTTGGGAACCTTTCCTTTTAAGACAGCTCCCCAGTTTCATGTGTCATGATCACAGGGCGATTAAGACCAAAAAGAGGAGGGGAGGAGAGGCGAGCACCTGAGAGTGTGCCTTCACCACCAAAGCTACTGAAATGGAGAGGTTACTACCCATTCGGAGAAAAAAAAGATAACTAGCTGCAATATGCAAAGGACCTTCTTTTAAAGCTGTGTGTTTCTTGTTCCAGTGGGTAGAGCCACATATGAGTCAATAGAAGAAATTCAGTTAGGTACTTGGTAACTCAATTTCCAAGACTAGATATGAAAGAACAGCTCGGCCCACCTGAACCAGGAAACGCATCATCCATCATTTTAAAATTGTAGAGCTACAAAGAAGTGAGCTGAAGGAATAATATAAAAAGCAATACAATAAGAAGCAATAAAAATTAGATCATAGGGAAGAAATCTGTGCTGTCCCGGAAGATTCTTGGAAATTACCAGGTACCCAACTCTGATCCCCCCCCATTTAGCCTCTCCTAGCCCCTGACATCTACTGTATGCAATAGAATACTGTTTCTTTCTGACTGAATGGGTCGGTAGAACATGGGAAAACCACTTCCTGTGTCCAGTGGAGAGGCGCTGCCACTTTAGGTAGAAAGCACAAGTTTTACTTACTCTTCTGGCAGAGACAACGGGCACCAGCATAACAGTTTTGGGGGCAAAAATTCCTTGAGGATTCTTCTATGGTTCTTTGAAGAAACCCAAGGACCACAGAAAAGTCCCATGTATGTACATCTCTGACTCTTGACTGTCCATTTTTGAAAATGGCTTTCAAATATCTCTTGATTAAGGGGTCATCTGCAAGTCTAACATCTAAACACACTAAAAAGGGCTCCTACCTATACCTTGAAGATTTGTGTACCCTCTTTTGTTTGGGGTAGCTACACTGCAAGGGTTGATTTTTCTACAACCTGGAGTTCTTTAAAAAACAGCTGAAACCCACTAAGGTGAGAAGAAAGGGCATAGTCCCAAGAGGATTCCCCCTCTCAGCAGGAGAATGTAAGAGCATTTACTGCAGAGCCAGTACTGGGATCACAAGTAGCCACTGACACTGCTGGAACAAAGACTGAAATGCGCAGGAAGAAGAGGAGCACACTATGCGTGCCCAGCATTGTAGGTGCCACTTCTGCCCAGTCAGAAGTGTGTCCACTCTACTCAGCATGCCTGGGAAGGAGACATAAGACGCACAGGAAGCAGAGGAGCCCCTTGTGTGCATGTGCAGAGAACATACTGCCCCCAATGTCGTCATCGCCACCCTATATTCGGGCACACGCAGTATGCCCCTAGACATGAGCAGGGATAAAGGTAGTATGAAGAGACGCCCCCTAAAAGAACATCACACACTGACACC